AAAAAGTACCTTAACTAATGTATTTATAGCTGAAACGTTGGAAATGTGGAAGTTTTGACTTGTTTTTAATTAAATCTTAAAGGCTAGTGTGATGTATTAGAACAGATTTGAGTCATTTGTGTTAGGTTGAAATTAAATCAAAAAGGTCTTCTCCAGGTTGAATTCTTAGCTATTCTCTAATGGAGATAGGTCTGAATGCTTACCAAGTAGGAGTAGAAAAGGAAATAGTGTTAGTAAAGCTCATGAAGGTGGCCTTCTAGTTTTCAGACCAGTGTACCTTCTGCTATCAACTGTACTTTCATGTGGAAAAAGCAGGTAACTGTATTTTTCTTGTAACTTGCTGGACTGAGAAATTAGGACACTGCATGCAGAATGCTAATAGAGTGTTCCCGGGTTCTGGCACCCCATCAGGAACAGGCTGTGCTGAGGAAACTGCTGACAGAAAATAGCAATTTTCAGCAACTCTGTAACTTTCTGAGACTTGAATGGATGCTTGTGGGACCAGTTAAAGGTTACCTTTATGCTGGAGGTATTGTTTTGGTAGATTTTGTGTTTTGCTGGAGATCATTGAAATAACAGTGATCTTCACATATACCTCTCCATATGCATAAAATTACGTGGGGAACTTTTTTATATCAAGAAATATATGCAATTAAGAGTCTGGGTTTGCTGTGTCCCTTTATTGCACGCTAGGCTGATAGCACCATGCTGATACAAGATTGTAAGTATTTTGGTATTGATGAAAATTTTGTAGTGAGCTCACATATGTCCAGCTAGCTACCGGTATGCTACATTCTGCTTGCAAAGTTGTTTTGGCAAAATTCTTGAACAGGTCCAATATCAGAATATAAAATTAGCCTTTAATATGTTTAGAAATTTATCTCAGGTTTTTGCTGCTTTAAATATATTTTGCCATCCCTGCTCAGTTTGTCCAAAACATACAGATAACTATCGGACTAGATTGTTACCTAGATTGCTCTAGATAAAAGGAATATTAATCAGATGAAGAGTGCTTGCCTATCATCTAATCGCTTAGAAACCTCACCTTGAAGCAGATCTTTGCAAACCAGACTGCTCTGTCACATTCTGCGGCTTCATCTGCATCAGAGTAAGGTGATTGTGAAGTCCTTGAAAATCGTGAACTGACCACTTGCATTAATTTCCATAATTGCTTTTTTTTGTCCAGAAGGAAGGTTTATCTGTCTATGAAGGACTTTTCCTTATTGCACAATCATAGAATCATAGAATATCCTGAGTTGGAAGGGACCCTTAAGGATCATCAAGTCCAACTCTTGACACCGCACAGGTCTACCCAAGTTCAGACCATGTGACTAAGTGCACAGTCCAATCTCTTCTTAAATTCAGTCAGGCTCGGTGCAGTGACCACTTCCCTGGGGAGCCTGTTCCAGTGTGCAACCACTCTCTCTGTGAAGAACCCCTTCCTGATGTCCAGCCTAAACTTCCCCTGCCTCAGCTTAACTCCATTCCCGCGGGTCCTGTCGCTGGTGTTAATGGAGAAAAGGTCTCCTGCCTCTCGACACCCCCTTACGAGGAAGTTGTAGACTGCGATGAGGTCTCCTCTTAGCCTCCTCTTCTCCAGGCTGAACAGGCCCAGTGCCCTCAGCCGTTCCTCGTACGTCTTCCCCTCCAGGCCTTTCACCATCTTCGTAGCCCTCCTCTGGACACTCTCCAACAGTTTCATGTCCTTTTTATACTGTGGTGCCCAGAACTGCACACAGTACTCGAGGTGAGGCCGCATCATAGCACTAGTCACAAGGAAGAATATCTGCTGTGATCCTCACCCTGTTTCTTGAACATTTTTTCTTTGTGGCATATCTTATGGCATTATTGGGCTCTTTGTTATCTTCCATTTCATAAATGAAAACAAGTTTATCACTGTAGTATGGCAACATTTTTCTTACTACACTTGTGTGCATTCCTAAAGACTTAATTCATGTTCACATTTGTAAAATTGATTTAATTCTTAACTTCTTTGTCATGGAACATCTAGCATGTATTCATTACTGAGCATTTATGCACATTTCACACCAAAAGCTATCATGCAAAAACTTTTTCACTGCTGTCTTTTATATATGATGTTTCAGTTGAACTAATTCTCTTTTAAGAACTTAAAAGTGAACGTTTCTCTCCTTGAACACAATGCTCAACAATAAAATTTGCACCCTACAAGAGGTTCCCAGCAAACATGACCATCAGGTTCTAACTGGAGTACATGGTTATCTAGAAGCTCTAGACTTTGCTGATAAAAGTGAGTTGCTTGATTGGTGGACTTAGCTTGTATTAACCTTCATAAACCTATTATTTACCAAGAAGGAGAGAGTGAATTACAATAATAGGTAGATTCTTCTCGCTTAGAAATGTGGTCACACTAATTTCTCCCTAAACCAGTAACTAGCAAGCCCCAAGATGACTTAACCTTGTTTAAAGCCCAGGGAAGTGATTTCTTACCACCTCTTTCCTGGAAGACAAACTTCATGGTAAGTCACAGAATTCTGCCTGAATTATTTGCTGGAATTGCCAGGCTTACAGGAAGCAGGTCGTGCTGTGCTTTTTAGCTGGCATTTTCTTGCAGCCCTTTCTTCATGTGCCCGCCTCAGTCTCCTTTCCTTCTTCAGTGGACAAAGATTCCATGTGATGTGGTTAGCATGGTGGTGTTAGATCCAGCCCAATCTTCATGGGTTTGACTGCAGAGGAGAGATAACATATTTCTATGGGAAGGCTTTAGGAAAAAGATTGTGTTCACAGCCTGCTCCACTTTGTAACAATCCAGTATTTGCTTTCAATGCACCTTTCACTATTAATCAAGTACTGTAGCATCCTGGATTTGTGGATTCATTAGCAGTTGGGCTATTTCATTCCACTGCCAAATACCTTATTTATGTATGTAGTACACACGATGTACAAATCTGTTGAAGGTGAACATACTGAATTCATTTTCTGCCTCTTGTTATATCTTTGTTGAGGCTTTGTCTATTAAAGTCATTCTTTTCAGGCCTATCGTCCTCACCTTAGAGGTTGAATTCCACTAGATTTCCTGCTGAAGTATTTATTTTGTATTAATCGTACTTGTCCTCAAGACATTATACGGTGTTGGTTTGCTCTCTGCAAAGTAGTCTGTTCCTGCTCGACTGACAAGGCTGAGTACCTTCGGAAGCCTGTGTTCCCTAATGGGGCTCTGAAGTTGGTACATTGAGTTCATTCATTCAAGAGTACCACGTCTCTACATCTTTATTCACAATCTGACGAAGGTGTGAGGGTACTACTGCAGTGTAAGCATTGAATCTTTATGAAATTCTGCTTTTCCCTGACAGTATATAATAAAAGGTATTGCTGTTAAGATTTTTTTTTCAGATTCTTATGCATATATTTCATTGAAGTCATAATCACTAGATCTGTAAATCAGAGCTTCTTGAAGTAAAACTAGACTTAGGTCTGCATGAGCACGGAGATGTAAGATTTAAGAGATGTATCAGACTTCTGTTCCGAAACAAAATGTAACTCATGCAGGGGCAATCCTTGTGATCATGTTACCCTGTACCTTCCTTCAAAAAGACAAGGCCTGTATAATATGCAAAATCAGAAGCATAATGACAACTTAGGTAGACAGTATATAATTACGCAAATTAAAAACTCTGCTAGTTTTCATTAATGTTAATGAACTCGTTCATTGGTAAAGCAGTGATCCTGGACCTCTGCCACGGATGGTTCTAACTTTGGGAATGCTTTTTATCTGTTGTGCTGTCGAGATGCTTACAAAAAAGGTGCAGCGTCTCACTCCAGCAGTGGTGTACTAATCAAGTCACAATTTGGAGAAGTGTTATGCACTGAAATGACATGAAATGCAAGTGTTTGTTTATTTCACAGAACTGACAAGTTTTAAGTAACTTCAGGATCAAAATAAAAAGTAGTTTCTCCCTGAACTTCTGTTTAGTTTTCAGGTTCTCCTAACTTCTCATGTTAAACCCCATCTCAAATAACCTTGCGTTATGAGATTAATGTGGTAATATCCACAGATATACTGTTTAAGTAGTACATAAAAAAAAATACTGTATTTTGTAGATCTAAATAAACAAGAATAACCCACATAACTTCTCTTCAATACATCTTAGTTTTACAGAATACTGTGGTGCTTCATATACTGAAAATGAATATACAACACCAGAGATTTTGTGTGGACTATGGACAGTGAATAAGATTTTTGTCTGCACGTTCCCTTCCAGTGCAGCCTCAGCTCTGTTTGTCATTTCTTCTAGATGAGCCAGTATTGACTCAGAGTAGCAAAACCAGAATATACCATCTTCCACCTCACTCCTCTATAAATCAGTGTGTTATAGTTCTTGTAACTGACTGAAACACCACTGCCAAGCTCTTTCTGTTAAAGATCCCTGACCTCAGTCTATGCATTTGCTTGTTAAGAACTGGTTTTCAAAGGCTCAGTTGGTTAAGTAGTTATGAGGCTCTATACAGTAATAAGCTGTTATCCATACAATAGATGTATTTATTTGCTGTCATTTTTATGGAGGGATGGATTTAGCTTTGCAGAGCTGACTTTCAGAAATGCAGCTCCTCTGTTCTTCTTGTGGCACGTGTAATACAAGAACAGTGGTTATTAGCCTCCCCCCCACCCCCCTTTGTGTGTGTGTGTGTGTGTTTTCTCTGTTGTATTTTTAATCCTAAGCCCTCAAAAGTAGCTTTTCTGTTAGAAGAAATATGCGGGATATATTCATGTATACAAAAATTCCTATGATCTCACTGTCTGCAGCTTTGGATTTAGTTCAAAGCCATACATGGCCTTAATTTGAAACGTAGAACTAGTGTAATGAATTTCAGTAGACTAATGGTATGTACCATGAAGTATGCATGAGAGTTGCAATTCTGGGCCTAAACCATTAGCCGTACAAAAAGGAAAGGACCTGGTCCAGAGAGAATATGTTCTTCTGGGAAATGCTGTTAGGCTGTTTTCCATACAAAACCAGGAATCCTTTGTGATACGTTTTATTTTACTTGAAAATAAGCAACAGGATAAAAACATGGAAGTTGTATTTGACTTACATTAAACACATTCTAAAATCGGCGATATGGAAAATGTCATTTACTTTTTTTTTTTTCCTTTGGAGAATATGTATTAGAGTATCATTGTAATTTATAATATTTCTTAAAAGAAGTACTAAAACTCTTCTTTACTTTTTTACACCACTTTAAAGGATTTTTAATTAGAAAAGCACATCATCAATATAGCATGATTTCAAATACAGATTCAATAAAGGCAAGAAAAATCTAACCTTTTCCAGCTTTCCACAAGACTAACAAAAATGCTGCAGAATATAGCTAGTAGTTAAAATTTTGCTTATAGTATTACAATTTTTTGGTATAACAGTGTTCCTGTTTCCACACTTATTACACATCAGTGTAGATTTTAAGCCTAAATTATGGTGATTTAAAAATAAAACCCTTTTGTCTGTTTTCTGGTCTCAGCTATGAAGAGACATATTGCACAAAACTACAGAAAGCATCATGGGGCTTGCTTGTATGTATTCATAGATTTAATTAATCTCTTTCTATGTTCTGATTGTTCTCACTGCTTTTCTGCTTATATTTCTTGTGCCTTGCGTGTTTGCTGGCAATAAAATAGTGCCATCTCAGTTTCCACTATTAGGCTTTCATCTGTTATCAGTGAGAAATTGAATATTGTCTGTCTTCATTTACATAATTTAGCACCCTAGCTGGGCTCACAGATACGTTTAGCAGTCATTGTTGCAGTGCCCTTAGCCAGGCACTTTGCTCTGGAATGTTATTGATATTATTGTCAGACTGTTTTGGTTTGTTTTTTTTTTGCTTTAAATTTAGAAATCATCCTTACTGTCGCTGGTCTTTGCACTGTGTGCTATGCAGTTAATGTTCAAAAATGCCATCAAAGCGTAGTGTAGATGTACACAAAAACAATAACAAATAAATTGAGCACAGTTCCAATAATTCCAAGCAGTGCTAGAATAGATTCTTCTTTTTCCTCCTTCTCCTCTCGCCTTTTTACATCCTCCAGTGTTGTGATGGCAGAGGTCCCCATTTTTCCTGCAAATATCTTCACCAGTATTCTGGCAGCTAGCTAGAAGAAAGAAAACAAATGGTAAATCTGGTCTGACGAACGTGCAAGCTTTGATCTTTTTAAATGCAATTCTGTACTTCTTTACAAAATATTTATTATTTCAGTGTTTGTTAAGTTGTATTTATCTTCTGTTTCTTTATGTATGGCCATGTAGGCGTTAGAAGTAATTGTTCTGGAGATGCAGATCAGGTAGGAGTGAAAAATAGCTTGATGCTTCAAGCTAATTAATATACCTGATTATAAAAGAAATTTAAAATTTGTCTTTAGTCAGCTAATTTATTTTTTTCTGAAACATCACATAGATGAAAGCAGGTATGTGGGCATTGTCAAATGCTCTGAAATGCCTGGAGAGATGATGTGAATTTTCAGCTGTTAAATATTTCACTGTCACAGTACAAAACCAGTTGCAAATATTCATGTCTGCTGCTTCCGAACATGGAAAATATGCCTCTTTAACACAGTATCTCACTCTGTTTTGACCAGTGAGCCATAAGCAGGCAATTGCAGGTGAGGTCTTCCCCTTTTACTTGTTTAATAGATCAGCTTTTGGACATGCATGCAACAGCAAACATTGAACAGAAAACGTCTGTTTTTTCAAATATAAAGGTTATTGCTATTATATATGCTTATTACTGCAGTATGCCAAAGGACGGTAGTACTTTCATAGTAGCAGAATACTGTGCAGTCTGAGGACTTCAGCTAGATATTTACAGATGCGTGTATGATTTATTACCTTTTTTGTTGAAAAAGTGAGGTTGACAGGTCATCTCTATTACTTAGCTGTTCTTGTACTCTTAATTGACAGTCAAATATCCTCTAGAAATACATTCCATGTAAAATTATGCTGTTTGGCAGCTGAAATGTTGACACTATCTATAATTTGCTCTGCTATTTTAGCCTTATTGATCAGAAAATTCTAATCTTAAACTAAAATTTGATTGGGCTTTCTACTAATTCAGATAACTCACGTTTAGTGAAGCTTTGCAATCACATTTTATAGTGCTACAGCGTTTTTCTCTTCTGGCAAACATCTTTAATCATTGATGATAAACCTATTTCTGCTGTGAGTCTAATTAAAGCCATCAGCTTAGAGCATATCTCATACCCAGAAAGGTAGCAAAAAAAAAAAAAAAAGATGTTTCTTACCCTACATTGCATCAGGAATAAAATGTCATCAGACATGCTTCTTACTCGTAGATTCAGTGGCAAACCAGGCTTTTTTCTTCATGAAGGGGCTGCTCTCCTCACTCAGACAGACCAGCTAGGAGCATGAACAGTTCCTTGATGAAGAAGTTTAACGGCGAGGATAACGTTGCCGAATCTTCCAAATGACTGGCCTTCTGCCTCGGTAATCCACTAACGCCAAGTGTAGTCAAAAACAGCAAAACCCTTTCTGGTAATGATCCTCACTGTTGACTAATTCTCATTAAAATGAGGATTTTTTTTTTCCTGGATGATGCAAAGCAACGACATGCATGCTGTTTGCTTTTGCCTTAAAAAAAAAAAAAAAAAAAAAAAAAAAAAAAAAAGAAACAGCTCCTGCTTTATTCAATTGTATTTAGTTATTTATTAAGACTTCAAAAAAAAACCAGCAGCCTTTGATTTACTCTCAGTGGCAGCCGTCTGAAGAGGCTTCTCACGTTGCCATGCTGTAATTCCGAATGCAGCGCGCTACGTGCAGTCACACTATGGCATTTTAGTCCAGGCTGAGAAGGGCTGAGAAGAAGGAGCCTGTTCCAGTGGCGGCCGTGTAAACGCTGTCACACACCTGCATTCAGAGGCTCTGCAAATAATTCCAAGGTATTCTTCGGAGCATTGCATAACTTAGCCCGGCAAATCTGAAGAGAGGAATGACAGCGGCTTCAGTTGCACACTGTGGCGAGCTGTGACATTGATTAAACATGCACTTGGCACTCGCTGAATAAAGAAGGAGCTACGAGGCACCCTTGCAGACGGCGAGTTGCATAACAATGTGCGCTGGCTCTGCTGGTTCATTGTCAGGCCGGGCACATTTTCATCCTGCAACAGCAGCGAAAGTGTGCGGCGTGGCGAGGAGTGGAGTTAACTGTACTTCGGGGTTTTCTGATGAAGTGCTGCATGACAAATAGTGACATTAAGGCATTCAAGCTGAAACAGTGTTTCTGCCTTTTGTCTTTTTATGCTTTGTTTGACAGGCAATTGTTTCTAAGGGAAATGCTGCTTCTAAGGCTTTCCCTTTTTGTATTCACCACCGAAGAATGCAGGTTGGTGCGTAATTAATGAAGGCGCAGACTTGCAGACAAATGCTCCTGTTCTGATTTCGCAGGAAGCAGTAACTCAGATTCTTCCTAGGTAAATCAAAGAGGTTTTTTCGCCTGTGCCATTGCAGAGGGAGGGGGAAGCTCTCTTCTTCCCAATCTCTACAGAGGATAAACCACATTTCTAATCGCCTCTGCAGGTAGCTGTGCTTCAAATGACTTTATCAGTCACTTTGTTCAATGAAGGCTAATAACACAATGTATTTTTCTTGAAACAGTGCATAATTTCTTGATATGAAGGAAAATGTGTTTTAGCTATCTTGAAAAGCCTACTTGAAAAAAGCCTTTGCAAAATCAACCACTTCAAAGTTCCAACGCTCAAAAAAGCTTATAAGTATGAAAAACCATAATTACACGGACTTCAATCAGTAGGAATGTAGCTGGAAACCTCGATCACTTTCCAGAACAGCATCTTTTAGAAATCAACAAAGCATTGTTTGAAATTCAGTTTTCAATAATCTTTGTGAGTTTGTATAGAAAGCAAAAGAGGGGAAAATCATTGCTTTTAAACGCTTCCAATTTCAAATTAATACATTCACATATTAAATATTTTTATCATGTTTCTGAAGTGTTTGAGTACACTTGTTTTCTTGGTTTCTTAGTGCTGCACAAAAGTTCACATTTGACATGTGTGTTATCTTAATGTTAAATACCATGTTCGAAGTACCGTGCATGGTGTGGTAGTGGTACTTGATCTGCCCCTTATCCTGAGTTTAGTATTGCCTCAGTGAAACTGTTTGACTCTAGATGAAAGGTTTAAAGTATTAGTTTCAATCTCTCCAGCAGAGCTTCCTTAAAATATATTCTAGTATGTATATATCGGCTTGCCTTTTAAGCTGTATTCTGAAAGCCTGCTGCAGCTTCAGTTGTTCCTGGAATTGTTTCCTGTCGATGTTTCTTGAACATATTTCTGTATTCTTTTAGATTCATTTAGAGATTGAAAGATGAGGGAAATTTCACCTGTGTATTCTGACCGTTCATGTTGCTGAGAGCACCTAACTAATCTAATATTTAAGCCATTATACCACATTAACCCTCACATGTTAAAAACCAAACCCATTGTGAAAGCAGAGAAACTGTGCAATGTGCATCTTTTATTTAAAGATTAATGATCTACTTGGAGGGTAAGAATCTGTCACCTTGTCAATTTAATACGACTTGGTTTAAAGGATTCAAGGTCAGCAAAAGAATTTTGTGCAATATTGTCAAGCGTAAATGGTGACAACGAAGTAAATTCAGCAGCTGCACTGCCAATAACCAGCTAATTAAGACGTATCCACAGAGAACAGCAAAAGACTCACAAAGTATTTCTTGGCCTGGTTTTTGCCATGGTTGAGCTCTCATATCAGTCTTCCGTTTAAAGAGTTGTGATGCAGCTGACACCTCAGGGGCTGCACGAACCCGGGGAAACAAATCTCTCTAGGCTCCCTCTGCAAGCAAGCGAGGGGGAGTGACAGCTCCTGCACACTGATTCAGATCCAGCATTCACCTGGACCTTGGTTTGATGGCCCGTCCATCCTTCCCTTGTATTGAGGTGCGTGTCTGTGCAGAAATGTCATGGTTTGGAGAACAGACCCAGCCAAAAATAGTTCAACAGCACAGCACAGTAAGAGGGACGGGGCAGTAGCTGCTTCAGTTGTCAGTGCTGTCAAAGAGTTGCTTTTTCAAGGGGAAAAAAGAAGAAGAAAAAAGTGTCAGTGTGTCAGTCAGTGCTAACGTTTCTTAATTACAGGAACTTTGAGGAGTTCATCTGTATGGGGTGAAAGCTGGTATTTACAAATAATTTCCTTATAGCTACAATGCAACTTCAATGGGAAGAGAAAATTTCACGTGGGATTTTTCATGTGGACTCGAGTGAGTAATACAGGCTTGATTTGAAACAGCCTTGATTTATGCATCAGGTTTGATTGTATCTGGAAGATTGGGGAGATACTGTACGAAAAGTAGCATTAGAGTCAGTACATCTTATGTGAGTCGGTAATAAAAGCACCTGTTTTGGGGTGAACATTAAATTACATACTAATTGGGTTTGGTATCCAGAAATACACTAAATTATATTGTTATTTCCATTTAGGCAAAGCTTTAAAGCACTTGATAAGACTTTGGCATCTAATTTATGTAGCATCCCAGAGCAGAACAAATTCTGTTGATTAGAGGTCATTCTGTTCATTACTGCTGATGTTTGAGCATTTGTATTGCACGGAAATAGACCTCAGGCAGTACAAATATATGTCATATTTTAAAGGTACTCATACTACAAGAGGGGGGTTGCCAGGGCGTCTTGTAAAGACTCAGTGGTATAGATTCAATGATTTACAGTCTTGGACTTTAGAGGATCATTATCCTGCTATACACTGCTGCTGTGGGTAATGTGTCACACCCATAACAAAACACTTACAAAAGAAACAAGTACTCTTAACCAAGGTACAATTTTTCTTTTTTTCCTCATGTATTTTTATGGATTAATGTAATTTTGTTGTTCATGTACCCTAAGATAATCCTGTATGCTGTATCTTCATTAAAAATGCATATTTTGAGTCAGATATTGTTGCCCTTACAGAGAGCAAATGCTCTGTAGAAGTTTGCTAATTATAGCAGAATGTAAAGAAAAATTTGAAGGAGAAAATGGAAAGAAAAAAAAAATAAAAATGTCTAGACTTAAAAAATCTATTTAGGTTAAGAAGCTGTAACAAAATCCAAAAGATCATTCATACATCATTTATCCTTGAAGATTGTTTTCTCTTGTAGTTGTTCCATGTTTTCCCTAAGATACAGGAAAATGCTTGAAATGCAGCAGCAAATGCATCCAGTAGGCAGCGCGGTGTGGTTTTCTTCTGTGATGACCTCCACGAACTCCATAGGCAGTTATGAGATCTGACACTTTTTCAGTTTAAATTGCAGAACAACAGAGCAAAGTTGTGTCTGCTGGAAGATGCAATAATTAAGATGAACTGGTTAGCCTAACGTGAGCTAGGAGGGGCTATCCATGCCACTTCATCCTCCTTCCTTAGGTTTTGGGGGTTTTGTTTTTTTAATTCTCATGAGAACTACCCATAGCTACTGTTGTGTGTTTTTTTTATTTATTTTGTGGGAGTTCCTAGCTTATTTTTTATGATGTAGGTGACAAGCAATGCCTTTGAGTCAGCAGCGATGGATGGTGCCGTTAGTTTGAGCCAGTTTTCCAAGTCTTTATTTACCCTGTTGAGAAAAAAAAGAGCTCAGGTCCTGCGTCTGTAGCAGTGCAGGTTGCTTTTAGATTCTTTATTGTTCACATCACAGCTTTTTCGTGTGTTTCCTCTTACCACTGATTGGATGATGTTTATGCTTCACCTACGCATCAACATCTTGTAATAATTTTCCTTCTGACTGAGGAACTTCAATGACTTTTTTTTTTTCTGAGCTTGTAGTTTAGTTACTAACTGAGAATATCCTTGGAAAAATACAGAATTCTCTCAGAGCTAACTACATAAATTCTTCTAGTTTGTTCCCGCATATCAGTCTTCACTCACCAGAAATTTGTTTGTTGTAATCTCTTATACTTGCTTTAAAATAGTTTGCTATTAAGAAAGCAATTAAAGCTTTATAAATGCCACCCAAAGTAGTTTGACCCTGGGAGTAATACCAATTCTTCTGCCATGGCCTTTTTTGACACCAACTTCTCTTAGCAGCAGTCAAGATCAACTGCTGCTTTGCTGTCTGTGAATACGATCAGAATGGACACCAGTATTTTATCAAATGGTAAGTTTGCTAGCTCAGCCAGCCTGCCTTTGGAGGGTGTTGAGTGATCTGTCCCATATTAGGTTGGGGGGAACTATTTTAATCGCTCTCTTGATGAATGGAAACAACTCAGGAGTCAGTGACTGATGAATGCTGCTGAGGGTAGGGGTGAGGGTTTCAGCCCCAGGCATGGCCTGTATGAGGTGAAAAGAAATGATGGAGAAAAGACAAGGTTTTTTGTTGTTTCTCGTCTCACATAGGACATCAGGCATCTTCATTTTTATCTTTGCTGATATCAAAAAGAATCTCTTATACCTTCAAAAAGTGATTAGTTAATTTTAAGATGCTTCAGTGATGATTCAGGGCTGTTCTTTGCTGCTCCAGACTTTTTTATGTCAAAAGTATCAGGGACTGTTTCTTCAAATTGGTGTGAGGGTAGGCTGCATGC